GAACCGCTGACCTGCTGATCTAGCAGTAGCCTGCAGTGCTGCATTTAACCACTGCGCCACCTTGGCTCTTTTGCTGGATGTCGAATTAACTGAAATGGTTAATCGCTGGATGCAAGAGCAGCAGAAACTTTTGGATGGCGTTGTCTCAAGCCATTCAAGTGGCCAAAGGGACAGGGAGCTGAACGCCAGGTAGAAGGACCACTCCATCAGTCGGGAGATGGAAGCCACCTGCAACCTTTCCTGGACTGGCAAGGGCTGTGCAGATCATGGCAATGGACAAAAAAACCCAAGCTCTGGCAGAGAGACAGAAGTTGAGGAAGGAAAGGTCTGTATTTAATCAGCAGTGGACAGCCTGCAGGGGGAGATGTCTGGCTGCTTTTAGTCTCTTATTAAGTTATTATGGTCGTTCTATTTGTACTTTGTTCCTCTAAAAGCTCAAGGCATCACGTATGAGGTTCTTCCCCTAATTTTATCCTGACAAATCACCATCTTGTAAGGTTTGCAAGAGTGTGACTAGTCCAAAATTGCCAAACCAGCTCAAGTGGGGATCTAGATCTGATTCAAGACCCAGTAGCAAGGCCCCAGTTCAAGACCTTGCCTAGACTACTGGTTGTCAGAAATGACACCCAGACAGGCATCAATCAAGAGGCTTTGGGAAAGGTACATAAAAAATGTGGTGCTGGGAAATTCAGCATGGTTGGCAATAGAATACAGTAACTTTATTGTCGCTTTGAATGTACACTAATCAACATACATTAAAATGAAATTTTGTTGCATACAGCTTTCAAATGGTTGCCACCTCCAATATACACCATGAAAGAATAAAAGAATGAATGAATGAATAAAGGAATGAATAAACAAATGAATAAATACATACAAAAATATGCATATACCTACATATATTACATGACACAGAGAAACAACACAGTGTAGTTTGGATGTATACATGTACATGGTGAGAAAAATAAATCTTGCGAGTTTACCAGATGGATGGCATAGGAAACACGGTTGTTATAGAATCTGGTAGTCCTGCTAGAAATACTTTAAAACCTCCTCCCAGAGGGGAGCAACAGAAACTGACTGTAAAGTGGTTGTGTAGGGTATCTGACAATGCTTTGAGCTCGAAATACATAGCACTTATAAGTAGTATCCTGAATAACAGGAAATGAGCTTCCTATAATCTTCTCAGTTGTCCTTGCCACTCTCTGTATGGACTTTCTATCTGAGGCACTGCTGCCGCCTAACCAAACAATGATGCAGTTTGTTAAAACGCTCTCAATCATGCCTCTGTAAAAAGTGGCCAGGACAGAAGGAGAAAGGTGTGCTCTTCTCATCTGACACAGAGAATGGTTTGCATGCTTCACTAAGGATGATGTGTGGAGAGACCAATTCAGATTGTTAGTTATCTGCACCTCCAGATATTTAATACTGTTGACAAAATTCCACTTTGTCAAAGGATAATGCCAATAAAAATGCCCACTTGCTGCTTTGCAGGAAATGATGAGAAGTCTCCACTCAGTGTATTGGTTCATAATGGTCCATGAGTTGAACATATGTATTGCTGTTCCTTTTTTGTGTCTCTCACTTGGATCTTATAATACTTTCCCTAATAATAATAATAGCAATAGTAATATTGTAATAGCAAAATACTATGCCTAACCCAGAATACTGTACAGCTTTCCTGAACCTGAGAAAAAGATGGAGAGAACTTGGCTACTTCCCAAATGCCCTTTGTCGTCCTGGTTCTGTTTTCATGTGCTATTTACTACCATCTGAAACTCGATATTGTTTAATACCTGCAGAAATGTATGCTTACGCTATCCTCAAATAAACAAGCCACATGACAGCTTAATAGTTCTTATAAGATAATGAAACTCAAAGCATCCAGCCTATTTTACCTATTGCAAATTTGGATAAATAGCATTCCAAGACTCATTTCAAAAGTTTCTTCCTCAAAGATTAAGACTTGATCATATGAACCGCTCCCATAAACTATGCAGACTTGCAGTGGTTTTAACAATAAATTGTTACAAGCAATAAAGTCAGGTCCCTGGCAGTCTCTCAACTAGATTGTTTTCTTGTAGACATTTCATTACCAAATTAGGTAACATTATCAGAAACAAACAAGCTCAGAGATCACCAAGGAACCCACGGTTCAACTGTGAGCTACAGAGCTTCTCTTCTATCAAAAGCAATAAAGTGTTATCCGAGGGATTCACGGTGTACAGGTAGTCCTTGATTTATGTCTGGTGGCTTAACAATCATTCAATGTTGTAACATAGATGAAAAAAGTTACAACCCATTTTCATAGTTATAATTGCTACACCGCACCCATGAGCATGTGGTTGCATTGTTAGCACTTGGTAACCACCTAATATTTACAACTGGTTGCTGCTTCCTCTGGTCACATGATCATATTTTGAGACTTTGACTTTGGGACAGCAAAAAACACCCATTGGATAAGCCGTAGAGCCTTTTCAGTTGTTGCCCCCATCTCTAGAATAGCATTCCCCCAGAAACTAAATTGACCCCACACTCCTCTAAGTTTTCAAAAAGCTATAAAGCTATAAAGACCTGGTTCTTACAGCCCAATTAACCCCAATAAATTAAATCCAAAGAAAACAGAATTAAAACCAAAATGTTTAAAAAATCTCAAATTCATCAACCAAGAAACAGATTTATTTAGTAAATTTATATGTCGCCCATCTCACGTAAGTCAACAGAGAGATGGTATCATTCCCCACATCCCCCTTAAATACAAACCATTTTTTCTAGCTTGTGGGAAGCCCTCAAGATGAATACTAGCCAAGCCTTGACAGGAAGAAGACAGCAAAGTACAGGGGCTACCAAAGAAAGAGGCTAACAGCGAACCCAATTTCCATTACCTCCTTCACCTGGTACCACTAACAGTTTTGGCCAAGGAGCATGCATTGCATGGGTCACTATTATGTGGAAAAGAAATTCTCAAGATATAAGCAACTAGGTGATAACCTGGTGTTGTCCAGGTATTTATTTATAGGGGGAAAATATCAGGAGCAAACTTAATTTCTAATGTTGGATTTTCCCCCTTACCAGAGGGAGCCCCCTTGTGGAGCACTGTGAAGCAGTTACCACGGCAACTCCACTGCTCTGTACAGTACAAGCCATTTTAAGGCAGTACAGCAGAAGCCATTTTAAGGCACAACAGGCTGTACCTTAACAGAACACACACCCTGAAGGGTGTTAGGGGTGTCTTACCCCCCCTCCACAGTATTTGTTTTCAGAGAGTAAGTCATCTGTGTATCAAGTTTGGTTGAAATTGCTCGAGGCATTCCAGAGTTATGCTGACACACACACACACACACACACACACACACACTTCATATATGGCTTTAGAGATACAGTAAAAGCAGGATTTTGGATTTCAGATAGAAACATCTAGGTAATCAGTGCAGAGCCCACAACAGAATTATAATTTTGGTATGTGACTTATTTGTCAACCTGCAGGCTGCGGCATTTGAGATCAACTGAAGACTATTTTAAAATGTCTTGAATTCCCCTCTCCATGTAGATGCTACCTCTTGTATTTTTCAAAAGGTTCCAACTTGCTGCTATGACCAGAAGGGTGGTCTCCAGCCGTCCCATGTTTACTCACCAAGCTTGCGGCTTCCTCTTCACCATGCCCTGGCGTCGCCACTGAGAGTGGGGGCTGAGATGGTAAGTCAGCTGCCTGCAGAGCTTCTCCATAGCCCCTAGTGAATCCCCCTCCTGCAGCAAGAACAAAAGAGGAAAAATCATTATCGACAACAAAGCCATGCCAAGGAACTAGCCCGAAGGAGATTGTCTGTATACAACGTGCATGGCCTCTTGAGAAGCTAGTTGGAGAAAAAGGAGACTAAGCATGGAATAGCTTCTGAAGGACTCGGGCCCCTCTGGATAAGCAAGCCACCAGTTCTTAGCTGACTGAATGGGGAGGAAAAGGGCTTGAAGCTGGCACGCCCTCTCTCCCCCTTTTGAGGAATCTCACTCTTCTACAGACCAATTAAATTTGTAACATATCAAATCCCCAAGTACTCAAAACTCTGGTGTGGTAATTAAGCCAACATGATTGATCAATCTCTCATGGTCACTACTGTTTCTTCCAAGGGTTAACACCATTAATTAAGATTCTTAGTGTGCTAAACTGCAGCCTCAGATTGCCCCAGACAAGCCCAGTGAAATACAGCCAGCCAGTGGTTAATCTTCAAGCATCATTATAGATCGGACAACAACTTGCTTCCACCATTGTTACCTTGAGACGACACAAGATTCTTAGAATGATCCCCATCCATCTAGCTCTTTCACTCACTGTGAAGCATGCAACAGAGAAATGCTTAGTTCTGTTTTGTCATTGATTCAGGGAGCTCTGCAGCGAGGTTAGTATGCATAGCATGTTTCCACTGGAGAAGAACTGTAGCCCACAGCCTCAGCAATGACTCAGGAAGTGCAATTACTTGGCTTGGCTTGCTATCTTTCACGCAGAAGTTACTGTGATTTCACCCTGCTACCAACCATTGCGGTTATTATGGGTCGTGCACAAGAGTGGATTCTGCGTGCCAGAGAACACCCTCTGTGTGCAGGGAGAGACTCTTTGCAGACCTCTGCAAAAACACAACAGGGAAGATGGGCAAAGCAAATCTGCTAACCAAACAGCCTCATTTACTTATAGGAAGATTCTATCGCTTTGCTGCGCTGCAAATAGCCGTACATTTTCTCACAATCCGTGTAAAAAAAAGCAGCCAAAGGAAACAAGAGGAGATCCAAGACGAAACACACATGCACACGTACAAATCCACAATGTGGCAAGTTCAAAAGGCAAACACGTTTATTTTAGGCAGGCTTTGGGATGGATGAGAATGCACCCCTTCCAAGCTGCATACACTCCACAGGGTCTTGCCAGTGGCACACCTGGGCGGGCATCTTTATCTGGCAGCCCCCGTTATCCCTTGCCAAACAAGTACCAACAAAGCACTGGAGCAGAGCCAGAGGGGCTATGCCTCTCATATGCTGACCCAGCTTCCTCTTCCATTAACTACTGTCCGTATCAACTCTGTCCCCGCTGTCAGTAACAATATCATCAGATCATGTTTTTAACCTTTTCCTAATGATGCCCTGCCAAAAAGAAAGCAGGAAAACCCCATCAGATATTTGCAGGAACATGGCTAGCAGGGCTGTGTCTTTTGACTGGTATATACAGTTACTCAAGAATACGTGGTAGGAAGAAAGAGGGAAACCATGAGGCAGATGTGTAGTTGCAATCAAAACAGACCCTAACTAAGATAGGAGGAGGATGTGAATAGAGGCCAAACAGGAAAAACAGACTGGGCTGTCCAGCAAAAAAAAAAAAAAAGTTCAAGTAGGAGAACTTCCAATAGAAAAAGGCTAAGATTAATAGCAGTTAGACTTATATACCGCTTCATAGGGCTTTCAGCCCTCTCTAAGCGGTTTACAGAGTCAGCATATTGCCCCCAACAATCCGGATCCTCATTTTACCCACCTCGGAAGGATGGAAGGCTGAGTCAACCCTGAGCCGGTGAGATTTGAACAGCCGAACTGCAGAACTGCAGTCAGCTGAAGTAGCCTGCAGTGCTGCATTTAACCACTGTGCCACCTTGGCTCTTAAGCAAAGGAGCATAAAACTACCTCCTATTAAAGCCAATGACAAAAGTAAAAAGCAGCAGAGCAGCATTGAAAGAGGATTCAGCTCAACTCCCTCCAACAGAACTTGCTTTTACTCAAAGGCAGCAGACGATTAATTAGTATTTATTTGTCTTTCCTCCAAGTACCCAAGCATCCCACATTTGTTTTACCCTTGCAACAATCCTGCCCAAAAGCATCCGTGGCGGACTGTGGATTTGGAGCTGGGCCTCCCAGATTCTAGTCCAATACTGACAGGCCTATTTGATTTACACATACCATTATTCTCACCAAAGTAGCCATCATCTTCTCATTGCATCTGCTTACTGTCCCACGCCTGGAGATAATGCTTCCTACTTTAATCAAGGAATCAGAGCTGATTATTCAAAGTGAATTAAAAAGTCTTAAGTGGGGGGGGGGAGGCGTGATGGCTGCCAAATGCTAAGCCCTGGGAAGGTGAAAAAAACATTTGTAAAGTTTCATGTTGTCTGTGGCTGTTTTGATTTTACGTCAGGTTGTTCCAACCTTATTGGAAGTTTTCCAATGCTGTCCTCACTATTCTGGAAGTGCTTCACACTCAAAGCAGGGCCATTTGAGGCTCCTAACCCTTCTTGAAGGGTCAAAGCTGCTTTGGAACACTTCCAGGAAAACCAGGGCAGTCCACGTCAAACTATGGACGTAGAATTTTGAATCTAAGTTATTATAACTACTTGGCTTGTTTTCATCTTGCTCAATGGGAAGTACAACAAAACGTGTCATTTAAGACTTGCAATTCCCAGAGATAAAAACCCCAACAAAGGGCCCCTGGGGGAAATTCTAGTTCTATGCCTCCCCCCGCTAGTCTATAACTCACTTCCAAACTGCCTTCCTGCACTCCTTTAATTTATCATGTTCAAGTGTCACCACTAAAAATGACTCCTGGAATATTATCAGTGCTGGGAACTCAATACAGCAGAGCTGCAGCCAGTAAAATTCCAGGCATGCCTTGAAGTCTGTCTGGTTTTCCATATTAGGGGGTAGAAAGGAACCTCTCCCACCCAGATTTAGTCACATGCCACATCTTTTGCCTAGGTTGGCAACAAGTAACTGCAATACCCATACCCTTGCTCTTTACTTATAGCATACTGTCTGTCTGGGTAGTGGGGGAGCATGAACATTACAGAATGTCCTGGTTTTCAGCAACGTTTCTGCTGTTTGAACACAGTCTTTAGTACCAAACCCTGTTATTAGTTCCCTCTACTTTGGACTGGATCCACCCTACTTCTCATCGCAGGGAATTTGTAAAGCTGAAATTAATCACTGCCTTTATTTTCAAGTCAAAGAAAATGATGTCATAGAAAGGCTTTAAAAGTCCCTGCTATGCTAGCAATCTCCTTGGCAGGTCATTTTAGTGAATTTAATTCATTCTGGGAACCTGGAATGCTAATCCCAGGAGAAAGGGAGGGGAGGGGGCTTTGGCTGTTCAGAAGAGCTTTGGTTTATGCCCAGAAATACTCTTATAATATGTTCAAAGATTTAAAACTGCGTGGTCTATAGCCCAGAGCTGACTTACTTTTGAGCTTCATGCAGAAACAACAAAGGCAACTTCAATGGCAGCTTCTCAGTCTGTTTCTAAACCCCAGGTGGAAGGGAGACGTATGAGCAGGAGATGCTGGTGAAGCCAGGCTCCCTTGGCCCTACATCCACTCCTAGGGAAGTTAACTAATTACTCTATAGGATCAACCCCCTACTGAATTTGGGGATGAATTATTTATCAGATGCCTGTGAAATATTCATGGTGACCTATTTTACTTAACAAAGTAGGCCCTTGCTGGAGGTAGCCTAGCAGCATACACCTATGGGCTGTAAACCTGATCTGGAAAAGTATTTTGGAGGAAGGGAATTGATGTTTTGGAGAACTTGGTTGTACCATTATAAAGTGTGCCAATATTATTCTGAGGGTTTCTTTGTTACTGGCAGTTTTTTAAATTAAGGTCAGCAGCCACTTACCAAATCTTTCTCACATAAATACTTGTCACTTGCTCCTCCATTTGTAATGACCCTAAACAATTTCGAAGTCCTTCAGCCAGTGAGTTCAAGCATCTGTGCCAACTGAGACACAATTCTTCAGGCATTTGGCACAGCTGCTGATCGTAAGTCTCCCAAATAATACCTCCTACTCATCATATATGAGCTTGCCCCTCCTAATACCCACTTACTCTATTTTTCTCAAATACAGATACACATAATTAAGTGTCCATCCAACCAAGATGGGTGGCAAGATGGGCAGCAAACAAATTTCATAAACAAATTTCATAAACAAATACATTTCAAATTTGAATACATGGATAGAATCTGCCCAGAATTATCTGTTTTCAATTTGACCTCTCACTGGTGCATTCACTGCTGCTGTAACTGTGGCTTGTCTCTTCTTCTTTCTCCCATTTTTTCCAAGCATCCTGAACTTCTCAAGGGAGTTGCATTTCCACATAGTATGTCCAAAACATGCTAGCAAAGAACCAGAGGGCTAGGCTGTATTGTGGTCAACTAGAGGTTCAGAAGGTTCTTGTTTAAATATCTAATAGTCTCTTTTGACTACGACTAGATATTGAAGGGGTAGTGTCTTCCAGAGTTTTTGAGGCCTGAAACAGATGAAAACAACAGTATAAGCCCTAGCATTATAAAAATATTACAAGATATCTGAGATAAGTTTAAGGATTAAAAATCCATACACCTATCTCCTTCTCCTCCCTCTCTCTCCTCTTCCTCCTCTTCTCCTCTTCTTCTGCTCCTTATTACAGATTAACAGAGCTGGAAGGGACCTTATAGGTCATCTAGTCCAAACCCCCACCCAAGCAGGAGACCCTACACCCATTTCTGGCAGATGACAGTCCAGACTCTTCTTGACAGCTTCCAGTGATTATTATTTCTTCTTCTTCTTCTTCTTCCTCCTCCTCCTCCTCCTCCTCCTCCTCCTCCTCCTCCT